AATGTTTCAAGAAATATTTGCATACCTGCCTTGTCAGGAAGGTTTAAAAATAAATTAAGTACTAGACAAGGCAAGCAGACATGACATACAGGTCAAGAATGCACAGCTATTAGCCAAGCTGAAAAGCAAGACTCAAGGCAGATGAGTTTTAAGAAGAAATGGAACAGCACAGTGTTCCCTTAAAGTCCGTGGCAGGCTCTGTGCCCCAAATGTCACCTGCACTGTTTATTTGTTGGCTTCTTCTTTTAGTCTGCTAGAAAGTGAGGCCGAGGTCCTGTCCATCCCCAGCAAAGTCAGAGGTAACATAAGCTCTGTCTCTTGTTTACTTCATCCTTGTAACTCTCTCCTCCCCCAACTTAAAACAATGTTGCGATGGACCTGAAAGAAAAGAATGGAAGCATTTCACCCTGCATTCCTGAGGTCCAGCCTCCACTGGAGAAAGGACTCAGGATACAATCCTGAAGGAGAATGAGGGCATTGGGAAGTGTGGAGCCCAGAAGCAGAGGTAAACCCTCAGGCGGGCAGCATGCAGTGGAGCATGCAGTGGAACTCCAGCTGGGAAGAAGGAAGATGGCATAGGCTTCCTTTATTCACAAGACCTTCCCCTGAAGAGCAGAGGGTGGAGACTCACAATGTTCTCATGCCCTTTTACCCCAAAAGCTCGAAACCTCCTTGGTATTTATTTAGCCTATAGTCTGAAGGAGCGTTTAAACCAGAACTGGTCCTCAATGAGGCCACTGGAAGTGTTTCCTGGAGTTTGCGGGGATTGGGAGAGAGGAGGTGTTGTCTAAGTACCCAAGCTCCCTAGTTGATAACCCTAGGACTCAGAGCCTGGCCAACCTGAACACAGGTGTCCTATTGCAGCTAGTTCCCTCGGTCCTCACCCCCTTGTCTTCTCTTCCCTCTGCCCCAAGATGCTGGGCATGCAGGATCTATCCTCACTGCAGCTTCTCCAGCCTTTGCCCCTGCCCATGCTGAAGTCTCTTCACCTCATGCCCCCTCTCTATGTACCCAACTCAAGCATGGCAACATAGCCTTCCTGTCCTGGACAGGTCATCACGCAGCCCCCAGACCCTTGGTCCTGGTTCTTTTGAGAATGGTTGGGTGCAGCTGCACCGGGGGGGGCGTGTGTGGAGGAAGTGAACCAAACAGTCTCAGTTGTGGGCTTTGGCAGTTGAGGAGGGGATAGGAAATACTATGAGCTGCTGATGACAGATATGATGTCCACTCCCCTCATAATTCAGATTCAGATAAGAAAGTTGAGGTTTTATTCTTTCAGTTCTTTTGTTAGTTTTTCTTGGTATGAAAGCGATGTTACTCAACACATACACAAAAATTAGAAAATACAGTCTTGCAGAAAGATACCTTATGAATCCTTATAAATAAACCTGTCGAGTTGAAACTTTGAAACATCTAGTTAATTCCTTTCAGGAAACATACAGCCTCACACACCTAGCCCTTAAAAATAGGATCATGCTATAATAAAAATGTTTAATGACCTTTAATGTAATATGGATAAGCAGGCCACAAACTGTTGAACCTCTAGGTAATTTTAACTAATATTCTATTGTCCAAAAACAAACCAGGAGTTATTTTAAGTTCCAATAGTAGGGAAAATATACATGTGGGCACAAATGCTTAAAGCTACCTAAAGGGTTTTGAAACCACCCTATGATTAATACTAATTATTAATATTTTAAAAATTCAGTTTCTACAAGTTCAGAATTTTAACCAGATTGTCCTTCTGGCCAATTTTCTTTGGATCATATTCTTTAGTTCCCATTTGCTGGCCAAATCACTTTTGAGCAAATTATTAGAAGGCACAGTTCATCTTTAAACCAGGCATCCCTCCCATATGTCAAAGCTGCCAAAGATGTCTGCATCAGTCATTTCCAAGCCATTTGTTCTGAGGCACACAACCTTTGGGGGGGCCAAATTAGTGATACATGCGTGGGTGGGCTTTGTTCCAAAAAGAGGTGTTTTAGGTGACTTTCACAAACAGATTCAACAGAACAAAATTGAAAGTAAAAAGAGATGGGTAAAGGGTACATAGGAACTCTTTGTTCTATGTTTGTAACTTTTCTGCAAGCCTAAAATTCATTCAAAATAAAACATTAAATAAGTAGCCTAAATATAAATGGATTAGAGAGAAATTGTTCGCAATCAACCGTCCACCATTAACACACACACAAAGATAGGTAGTGATAAAATGAGACCAGTCTGAAAATTAGTACACAGGAGACTTGTGTAGGGTTTATGTAATTACTATAGCTGAGCATGCCAAAATGAAAATGAAACATGATTGTTCTAAGAATCACATTATCATCTGTGAAAACATACTGGTTAAATATGAGAAGCAAAAGGTTTCCTGCACTTAGGCCTAAGAGAAATTTTTTGCTTTTTTCCAAAGAGAGCATAAAGTGGTATTAACATTCTCAACAACACCCTGACAAAATAAAATAATGTCCTCTAGAAGCAGGAGTAACTTCTTGATTGATTGGCAGAGTAAAGCAGTTAGATTTCTTTAATCGTCATTTGAGATATTAGAAATTACTTTAAACAATTTCCTCTTTAAGAGAAAAAAGTCTAACTGTGGGGAGGAGTGGAGTAAAGAATGTTTCAAGAAATATTTGCATACCTGCCTTGTCAGGAAGGTTTAAAAATAAATTAAGTACTAGACAAGGCAAGCAGACATGACATACAGGTCAAGAATGCACAGCTATTAGCCAAGCTGAAAAGCAAGACTCAAGGCAGATGAGTTTTAAGAAGAAATGGAACAGCACAGTGTTCCCTTAAAGTCCGTGGCAGGCTCTGTGCCCCAAATGTCACCTGCACTGTTTATTTGTTGGCTTCTTCTTTTAGTCTGCTAGAAAGTGAGGCCGAGGTCCTGTCCATCCCCAGCAAAGTCAGAGGTAACATAAGCTCTGTCTCTTGTTTACTTCATCCTTGTAACTCTCTCCTCCCCCAACTTAAAACAATGTTGCGATGGACCTGAAAGAAAAGAATGGAAGCATTTCACCCTGCATTCCTGAGGTCCAGCCTCCACTGGAGAAAGGACTCAGGATACAATCCTGAAGGAGAATGAGGGCATTGGGAAGTGTGGAGCCCAGAAGCAGAGGTAAACCCTCAGGCGGGCAGCATGCAGTGGAGCATGCAGTGGAACTCCAGCTGGGAAGAAGGAAGATGGCATAGGCTTCCTTTATTCACAAGACCTTCCCCTGAAGAGCAGAGGGTGGAGACTCACAATGTTCTCATGCCCTTTTACCCCAAAAGCTCGAAACCTCCTTGGTATTTATTTAGCCTATAGTCTGAAGGAGCGTTTAAACCAGAACTGGTCCTCAATGAGGCCACTGGAAGTGTTTCCTGGAGTTTGCGGGGATTGGGAGAGAGGAGGTGTTGTCTAAGTACCCAAGCTCCCTAGTTGATAACCCTAGGACTCAGAGCCTGGCCAACCTGAACACAGGTGTCCTATTGCAGCTAGTTCCCTCGGTCCTCACCCCCTTGTCTTCTCTTCCCTCTGCCCCAAGATGCTGGGCATGCAGGATCTATCCTCACTGCAGCTTCTCCAGCCTTTGCCCCTGCCCATGCTGAAGTCTCTTCACCTCATGCCCCCTCTCTATGTACCCAACTCAAGCATGGCAACATAGCCTTCCTGTCCTGGACAGGTCATCACGCAGCCCCCAGACCCTTGGTCCTGGTTCTTTTGAGAATGGTTGGGTGCAGCTGCACCGGGGGGGGCGTGTGTGGAGGAAGTGAACCAAACAGTCTCAGTTGTGGGCTTTGGCAGTTGAGGAGGGGATAGGAAATACTATGAGCTGCTGATGACAGATATGATGTCCACTCCCCTCATAATTCAGATTCAGATAAGAAAGTTGAGGTCCCAAGTGACTGGTTCCAGATCACTCATTTATTTATTGCCAAAGTCAAGACTAAAATCTAACTCACACAAATATCACGCAATTGATGTGGCTGCTTCTAGCATGCCACATAGAGGCTAGAAGGAAAACCATGACCTTTCCAGAAATGCTCATGCTAATAGGAGTTTGGTAAAAATATTGAGAAAGCTTTACATTGAAGCTATTTACAGGTATTGTGAAAGTAGAAAAGAAAAATCCAAACTTTTTTTAACAAAATAAAAAATCTTGTTGTCCATATAAAATATTAATTAGGGCCATAATCCTCACAGGGAAAAAATGTTTTAAATATAATTAACTAGTGTGAAATATTGACTACTTATCTTGATAGCAAGAATCAAGTAAAGAGATGGAGTTTCACCCCTAGTTCTGCCTTCCTTCCTGAAATGAGGCATTGTTTTGATAAACTTTGTCAACCGAAAATATTCTCTATTTCCATCAAGTTGGTAAAGGTTTTTTAGGAAAAAAGTATAGCTTTTCTATTTTAAAATTGAATCAGACCACCTATGTATAGACATCAATTCTAGAAGAGCAACTATTTTTAAGTACTGCATGGGGTCTATATGCATTTCATCAGAGTTGTCTCCCTTGCCTAAGAAAGTAATGATACAAATCATCAAACTATTTGATTAATCAGTCCAATTAAACAAAGGTTTAGTACCTAAGTGTTAGTTTCTGTAAGGGACACAGAGACATGCTGCTGTTGCAGAGCCTGCCATGGAGAGGGGAGAATGAGATAAGGGCAGGGAGCTGTCATAGGAGACGAAGGTAGAGCAGGCATGAGGGGGCAAGAGGAATACAAATAGCTCTGGGGATTCAGAGGGAGGAGGCCCACAAATATTTGTTGAAAAAAAAATGTGTGCTAGAATAGATGGATTAGGAAAAGCAGCTATGGAGGTAGCTGCTTGAGATGAGCCTTAAAAGATGGGGAAGATTGGGGAAAAAAGCATGTCTGGGCTTTGCTCCAGCACACAAACATTCAGAAAATGCAAATATTTAAGAGAATGATTTTTAAAAGATTGTGCAAAATATTTTAATTCCAATTCTTCTAAAAACCTTTACCTCTTTCCTCTGTAGTGTACTTACCCAAGTCCCCAGGTTCCGGCCATTTTTGGCAGCCTTCTAATGTGAAACCAGAGGGAATCCCATCTGCTCTGGAAGCCTTTGCTTTTATGTCAATGGACACTGCTGCCTCCCTCCCCATCTCCATAGCTCACACTGAATCTTCATTTCCACTCACACTGAGGATGGTGTTATGTAAAACTTGGTTCACTCATTCATCAAATACTTACTGAACGTCTGTTGTGTTCCAGGCATTGCCAGGCACTAGTGATAGAAGGGTAAATACAAATCACCAGGGAAATGCAAATCAAAACCACAATGAGCTACACCTGACACCTGTTAGGATGGTTATTACCAAGAAAACAAAAGATAACTGTCGGTGAGGATATGGAGAAAAAAGAACCCTTGTGCACTGCTGGTTGGAACATAAAATGATGCAGCTGCTATAGAAAATAGTACAAAGTTTCCTTCAAGAATTAAAAATAGAAATACCATATGATCCAACAGTTGCACACCTAGGTATTATCCAAAATAATTGAAATCAGAATCTCAAAGAGATATCTGCCCTCCTAGGTTCCTTGAAGCATTATTCACAATAGCCAAGATATGGAAACAACCTAAATGTCCATGACAGGTGAATGGATAAAGAAAATGTGGTATATACATACAATGAAATATTATTCAGCCTTAAAAAAGACGACAATTCTGCCTTATGCAGTAACATGGGTAAACCTGGAGGACATTATGCTAAGTAATAATCTAGACACAGACAGACAAATACTGCTTGATTCCACTTATATGATGTATCAAATCGAATTCATAGAAACAGAGAACAGTGATTGCCTGCATCCTGGGGGTGGCGGAAATGGGGAGTTGCTGTTCAATGGGTATAAAGTTTCAGCTATGTAAGATGTAAAGTTCTAGAGATCTGTTTACAACATCATGCCGATGGTTCATAGCACTGTATTTTATGCTTAAAAGTTTATCAGGAGGGTAGATCTGTGTGAATTGTTCTTACCATAACAAAAGAAAATTAAAGCTAAAAAAGAAGAAGGTGAAACACAGTTCAAAAACTCTGGTGCACACAAAAGAATCAAAGGGTATGAAACAAAAAGGTGGCCAGGGACCACAGGCAGAGGAATGAGAGCACCAAGTCACAGCGTTCCTTAGCGGGATTGCTGGGGGCAAGTGAAGCCACCCAGACCACACTCTCAGGCCCATTATTTTCTAAGTACTCCAGATTAGAACAGTATACTTTCTATTTTCTAGTTGGCCAGTTTGATAGGCAAAAATTCACATACTGCCTTCCCCCTGGAGCTGGATGAGTATCCCAGAGTCCCTGCCAGAATTCCTGCTCTCCCATCTCATGGCTGGTCCCTTCTTCAAAAGCTCAAGTTAAAACTGGAAGGTTCCCTGTGGGATTCCTATTGTTTTGTGTCCTGAAGAGAGGACATTAAGTAAGAAAGAGATTAGTGTCAAAGAAATATCTTATCTTTTAAGGTAAAACTAGCTCCAGTTTAACTAAAGGTGTCTTTGTCTCCTGTGATCACGTAGTGTAACCCACTATATCCAAGGTGGCTCCCCCAGCACGTAGACAGCGTGGGGGCATGCACTCCTCCACAGGAAGGTCATTCCCTCCCAGGCTCAGCGAAACGAAAGGTCACTCAATGAATAAGCCATGTCCTTCTGCGAAGACTACATGACTTGTATGCTCACAGCTAAAGAAAAATCAACGCATCCATGGATTTGTTGGGCCTGATCTAACTCCTGCCTCCTCCAGCAACATATTTAGCCACTCTCCTCATCTACTAATAAGAAGAAAAGATGTGACTGGGTGACACATAGCCATGTTGGGATTCGTCATCAGACAAGGAAAAAGCAACAGCTAAGTAGAATTAACAAAGGCCTTTATTTATTGTGTCATTTTTTAAAGCTTTATTGAGGTATAATTTACATACCATAAAGTTTACCCATATTTAAGCATACAATTTAAAGACTTTTAGTAAATTTACAGTTGTGCAAGATGTACATACTATCACCCCAGAAAAAACACTTGTGTCCATTTGTAGTCAATCCCTGTTCCTATCCCCTACCCCAAAACACCGTTGTGTTTCTGTCTCATAGGTTTGCCCTTCCCAGAAACTTCATGTAACTGGAATCACACAACACATAGTTGGTTGTGTCTGGCCTCTTTCACTTAGCGTTATCAAGACTTCAACGTTTTGCATGTATCAGTACTTCTTTATGTTTTATTGCTGCAGAATATTTTATTGTATGGATATACCATATTTTGTTTTGTCATTCACCAGTTGAGAGACATTTTTTTTTCCAGTTTGGGGCTTTTATGAATAAACCTGCTATAAACATTCCCATATATGCCTTTGTGTGGACATATATTTTATTTCTCTCTATACCTAGGAGTAGGATTGCTGGATCATATAACAGAGTTTATGTTTAACTTTTTAGAAACTGCCAAACTATTTTCCAAAGTGGTTGTACCACTTCACATTCCCACTCACAGTTTACGAGGCATCCAGTTTCCCTACATCCTCACTAATAGTTGGTACTGCCTGTCTTTTGGATACTATGATCTTTTTGGTGGGTTTATTTGTTTTTAAGACTGAGATTTTTCTCATCCCTCAAGTCCCAGAAACCAGTATAGCTAAAGTAAGCATAACCTCTGGGTCATAACTGGCTAAACTTTTGAGACTGTTTTAGGGAAGAGTTTCGTTGTGGGAAATGACAACTACATGCTTATTATCATAACAAAGAAGGGGTAAAGCAACACCAGACATCTCCTTTGTCCAACCTCTATTGTCTAGACAGGAAAACTAACTCTTCTAAGGACAAAAACCATCCTTTACATTAGATTTCAGCCTGTTCATGCAAGAGTTAATGAACATTTATGAGTACCCATAGTGAGGGAAAAAGGTATTTCTCATGTAATACATGAAATGAGAGTTAATTTAACTTAGTAAACACTCTTTGTTAAAAACAAGACATCACATTGGGAGATGATAGAAGACTAGACCAAAATTTCTGAGGAAAGATATTTAACATCTCACCCTGGTGTCAAAGTAGGGAAAGAGCTGGGATGGTGTAACTCCAGAGGGAAATATGTTCTCAGCCCAGGACAAATAAATCTTTGAAGCCCAAATCAGTCAAAGGAAAGAATATAGTGGGAGAAACCTGTTTATTGCTTACAAGCAGTCATCTACTCCTGCTCGCCAGTGTCTCTCATGTCTGGCTACACAAAAGGTCCCACCAAACCTCTCCAATCCCAGTGCACCCTCGCTGCCTACCCCTCCTTGTAATCACCTATTGATATGGAGATGCCCTAAGGTCCGACAAGAGATTCTAGAAATATTAAAATTTTACCCACAGGTGGGGAGGAGGCTATACCCTTGCTTCTCATTGATACATTTGCTAAGTCAAGGATACCTTACCATATGTCTATAATGTGTATGTGTGTGTGTGTGTGTGTGTGTGTGTTTGCACACGTGTGTAAAGTGGTAGGGAGTTGAGCAAATGCTTCAAAAAAAATCTAGAGGATTAAGAGCTATAACACCAAAGTCAGTCAGTACATACACATGACTAATTCTAAGAGTTTTGAGCCGCCTTCACATTAGTGACCCTTAAGAAACTTCTGAGTGGATCCATTTTATGACTCATTGCCTATGACTTTAAAACTATTTTAGGGCTTGTCAAGATCTCATGCAGTTTATTTGGGGAGACTGAGGAGACAAACCTGGAAAATGAGGCAGTCTTATGAATATGTACTACAGGCTTGTTTTGTGCCAGTGGAGAAGGGATTCAGTGGGTTTCTCCATTCCTTAGAGAAGAGCATTTCCTACTAACCTGAGCTGTGAGCCAGAGATGTACTGGAACCTTCTGAGTCTGATCAGCCAGCAAAAGCCAATTGTGTACATCTCCCAGGTCCACATTCAGTGAGGTCTAGACCCGGCATAAAGTAGCAATCAGGCCTTCCCCATCACCACCCACCCTAGAACTGGTTGTTAAACATTGACTAGCACACCACTGTGGTGAGCTGTACAAGCTGTCTAGCCAAGCATTCTGGGTGACCTTCCTTGGAGCATAAGGAAGAGTTCTGAGGATAACCTTGGGAGGTACCTGCAATGAACACCGCAGAGGACTCACATGGTTTGGGAAGAAAGCAGACTAGATACATTCACTGTGGGGGGATAGCCTTTGGTAATTAGGCTCCCAATCTTATAAGACAGATAAAACAGTTTCATAAGTAACTATGGTAGGAGATAGAAGGTGGTCAGAAGCATAAAGTGCAAACTGGAGGAGATAATTCAGAGGAGGGTAAGGCTGAGCACACAGCATATTCTGGGGCAGCACTCTGAGAGCTGAGAATTGCCCAGGTCACTCCCAGTTTTGAGGCTCCTGGTGTACTAAAACATGAAGAAATGCCAAAACAAGGTTATAAATATTGTATTTTAAATGTTTCCACTAAACATAGTACTATGTTTAACACATGTACACATAAAGCATAATGCCATATAATTGCACTATTCATAAAAACATTATACAATTTATTAAAATATCAATTCACTGCCTACTACTGGGGGTATGGCTTAAATTAGAAGTTGCCTGAGAAACATCTTTGAAAACTATTAGTGAATCTCAGTGACTGCTTATTAAGCTACCCTGGGAGGTTAAGTGTAAACCTTAGGAGCATCAGGACAGGAAAGCCCTGGCTTCTAGAGCCCTCTTTGACATCCTCATGTTCAGAATTATAGCAAAACCTTCATGAACTCCAAGTAGGACCTTGTCTGTCATCTATAGGACAAAGCATTTATCCAGTAGAACTGGGAAATTTTAATTTTACATAGCTGAATTACTCTAATAGTGAAATTTATCTCCTTCAAATGGCCAAACAATTTTCGCTATATTTAGTGGGAATATTTATTTCCACAGCCTTCCACTATCGGGTTTTGAAAATGACATCCCCTCCGCCTGGCAATTCAGTCGTGTTGCTCTCTGCTCCCACCGCCCTCTGTGGTGATCAACAATGCAGTTTTTCCCTTTTAAGGTTTTTCTGCCCTGTTGGTGCTGGAGTCACTTCCTGCTGTGCTTGGCACATCGGCCCCCCAACAGTGTGGCTTTGGCCCCCCACAGTGTGGTTTCTTCCCCGCTGGTGGTTACTCTGCACTGGTGCTGCTGTTGGGACAATCAGATAAGCAGCTTGTTGACGTTTATTCTAAAGAGTCTGTGAAGTAAGAAAGGAGCCTATGATAATTTAACCTAAAGGGCTCCA